CCAAACCACAAAATAAGCGATTTTCCTCTGGAAAATTTGGGTGAAACTTTAAAGTCGATTTTCTCGAAACTTTTTCCAAAATGCGAATTTCTCTTTTTGACTGAAATAGATAGGGGACATGTTAAAGTTTAGTTTGCGACAAAAATTATACCTCTCGGGTCAAAATTGGCGAAGTTATGGCCTTTTTAGCGGAGGGGTGGGGGTCGGCAGTTTTCCTATAGAGTCTAGTTGCACTGGTAGGGGTGAAGACCAAAACTTTGACAGGCTGCCCTGGGGAAACTATCAGAGATAGAAAGCTGAAATTTGCACTGCAGGTACAGACTGGTTGGAAGTTGCTGTGTTCCAAATTTCAGGTTCCTACCGTGAAAACTCTGCCTGTTACAGCACTTTTGGTTTCTGATTTCTTCCCCAAACCACAAAATAAGCGATTTTCCTCTGGAAAATTTGGGTGAAACTTTAAAGTCGATTTTCTCGAAACTTTTTCCAAAATGCGAATTTCTCTTTTTGACTGAAATAGATAGGGGACATGTTAAAGTTTAGTTTGCGACAAAAATTATACCTCTCGGGTCAAAATTGGCGAAGTTATGGCCTTTTTTTTTTTTTTTTTTTTTTTTTTTTTTTTTAAGTCCATTCTAGGTCAGAACATGTATAATTTTACATAGACTTTGCATTGGATACGTCATCGGGCCCCATCAGCTGATCTAAATTTACATTGACTTTTTTAGGGCCCTGTAAAATGGATAATCAATTTTTTACTGACCATGTAATATCATTGGTAGTCATACAATGTTTTTAAAGGATTGTGTTGCTTAGAGATGGATTTATTGTATAGGTTATATTATTATAAACCGCGCCAATTATTCCTTGTGCAGACACTACCAAATCAACAGGATGTATTTAAGGTAAGCCTTTATATCTTTTTAAGCACAATTTCTTCTATAGAATAGGGCAATAATATTGTATGTATACTATACATTTTGAAAATAATGTTATTCCGGAGTGTTCGCCGCCTTTACCACAATTTAAACTTTTCTAAATTCATATCTCTCGTTGCAAACTATCCGAAATTTAAAGGACGATCGCCCGCCCGAAAATTTCACTGCAATAATAAAATTAATTCAGGTTTTGAAATGTTGCTAAATAGATGCGACCGTAAAGCTTCACTTCAAATCCTCCTCTGAAAACCACGTGAAGGATCACAGGAGATGTTTATTGGTAGAAAATAAATGGTGAATATCACCAAGTATTTTAGACTGACAAAATGAATTTTACTGAATTCAAAGTTAAAAGTCCGACGTAAAACTCATTTTCTTGAAATGTAAAATTAGATTAAGAGTTAATGTTTAGGGAAAGAATAAAATTGAATTAATTTTAATTTTATCTGACGCATAAGGGCCAGTTTCAATTGTCTGAGCAAGTTCGTTGGTTGGTATTGTAAATACGTTTTATTTCATTGTTTGAATAGATGCTTTGAAATAGTACTGATAGTCTCAGAATGACTTTACGTTGATAAATAACACCAAATTTTGACTGAAAATAAATTATTGTCCTCTGTAAAAAGAAATTCAAAGCTAAAGCGATTATCAGTAATGTTTCGAAGCTTTTATTCAAATTCACTTTGATGAAATGTGCAAAAAAAAAATCAATATTTTTTGTAAAAAAATTCATTATCAAAAACATCGTAAATTATACCTGAAAATATTTCTAAAGTATGCTATTTATATCTATGTATTTACTTGATCAAACTGAATTTGTTTTAAAAGGGTTAATTAAAAACTAAGAGTACTAATTGTTAATTAAGCAGTTTGACCTAGTTTCGGTCATTGGCTTTATAATGGCTTGTTATATTTAGTTGAAGTCTTTAGAATACGTAGGAGACATATTTCTCTACAAATAGTCGTTTATTTTACTCAAATCCTTACAGTAGTTTTCTAACAGCTTGCAAAAAGCATAACGAACTTTAAAAGGTTACGCAACCTTTTACGTAAAGTTTTGGCTTTAAAAAATTAACGGCTGGATTTTTGTAGTTAAAACTTTCAGATACGTTAAAGGGCACATTTCTCTAGGTTTTGGTGTAGAGTTTTCACAAACTTGAACAAAAAATTTGATAGATCTACAAAAAAGCGGAATGTACCTTTAAGGCAGTACACACTATAAAACCAACGAAAACTTTACTATGCGCGAATAAATTTCCTACTGTAACTCAATTATGACCAACTATATAAAAGCTTTATCATTTTTTATTACCAGTTTGCTCAAAGAGATAAGTATTTTTGATGAAAAAAATATGGTGGTAATATTTAAAGCCAAACTTCTTATGAGTGAGTTTCTTGCATATTCTCTTCAAAAAGTCCGAAAATGATAAATATCTCTATTTAATGAAGAGGTGTGGTTTAAACGGCAATGGACACACCGTAAATAATCATTGCAGGGAGTAAAATATGCCTAATCTAAGCGCACGCTAGCTAGGCAGAAGAAAATAAGTTTTATGAATTACTTCACTTGCCTTTGAATATAAAGGCAGACGTGTGACTGATACATGTCCGTAACTTTATATTCTTAAGATCAAACCGTTGTCAAGAAATATATAAATACATACTATTGTCTGAGTAAAGCTTTTTTGAATTTTTTATATATTCTTTAAGCCTCAAAATAGTTGGCATACAGCTAGCCAAAGAATGGCTTTGCGTTGATTAAAATATATATTTTTTGTTAAACTTATTAATAAATTTCAACCAAAAAAGTCTCAAATTTTGACTATAAATTGCCCTCTTTAAAAACTATTGCAATTCCCATAAAAATAATGGAAAAAATTCAGAAAAGCATTTTACATTGTTCAGACAATAACTAAAGTGGATCTAGTAACCGAGCGATAGGCCGTATACTAGGGAGTTCACAAACGGCCTCGTAAAAGTTACGCTAGCGCTCTGCAGATTCAGCTTACGAATTGTCGAATGTGGAGTTCATTGACGTCTGACGGCCAAATCGCCACCTTCACGCCTCATCAAATCCCACAATTTTTCATCCAGACATATTATACGTTCCTAAAATTGCAATTGAATAAGTTTCTTTATGCTATCTCGAGATAGTTGCAAGTTGAAGTAGAATTTTTAGCCGGCGGCCATTTTCTCGCTCTTGGCTATACACTTCCATAACTTAATTTATGTCATATCAAATTTAAGGATATAACTAGAGCCACTCGTGGCACAGAATGGGACTTTGCAAATGTAGCAATTTGCTAAAGACCCTGAAAAAATCAACCATCGACGATAATTGGGTCAAGCGCAAGAACAAGTCTAAAGTTGAGAAATTTTTATTTTTTAGAAGATTCTAACACCGGAAGTAGACGTCAGACCTCACAAATGAAAGTATCAGCAGATAGCCAAGGTCAATGACCTTTGATCTTGTAAAAGAGAAGGTCTAAAAAGGTCAAGATCAAGAGATATACGTCATCAAAATTTATAATTGCACACGACTATAAAACCGGAAGTTGACATAGGACAGCAAATATGAAAGTACAAATAGATAGCCAATGCCAATGAAGTTTGATCCTACAAAGGTCAAGGTCAACAAAGGTCAAGGTCAAAAATTGAAAATTTTGATTTTCCAAAACCTGTTCCTTTTTTTGAACTAAGAAGCGGAAACAACCGAAATTCTAAGACAAAGTGGCTCAAAATATGAGGTAATTGTGTAAGAAGTTCCATTTTGAACAAATGTATACTTTGCGAGTTATGACCCTGGCCAAAAATGTCAATAATGAGTAATTTAACCCGAAAGTGCCACGCCCAACTCAATTTTTTTTGAATAAGTTAATCAATATTCAAAATGTTACGTTATGTTCCAAATGTCAAGTTCCTACATAATAGAGGTCAAAAGAAATAGGTCAACAAAAGTCAACAAAGGTCAAAATCGAAAAATGAAAATATCCAAATGTTAAAACCCGTTCCTTTTTTGAAACTATAAAGCTGAAACAACTGAGCTGTTAATACTTACTGGCCAAAAGGATGAGGTAATTGTGTGCAAAGTCTCTTTTTGAACAAACGCATCCTATGCGAGTTATGCCCCAGCCCCAAAATGTAAACAATTAGTAATTCAACCCGGATGTGCCACGCCCACATAAGTTTTTTTGTCATAGGTGAATTCATATTCAAAGTGTCTAGTTATATTCCAAATATCAAGGTTCTACATCAAATAGATCATAACATATACATACACTAAGCTCAAAAAGTCGCAAATATTGTAAAAAAAAAAACTCAAATTTGAAAAAATCACGAATGACAATTTTGCTTTAAAAAAACGATTGTTATATATCTATGTAATGTACACGAGAAGTACATTAGGAAACCGAAAAAATTTACTCTCTAGGTTAATTAGGTCACGTGCTAGAGCAGTCCAAAGTTGCGAATTTGGATGTTTTTGGACAGTTATAAAAGCGAAAGTAGACGTCAGAGGTCAAATATGAAAGCATAAACTAATAGACAACGTCAATGACCTTTGACGCAATAGAGGTCAAGGTCATCAAAGGTCAAGGTCAAAAATTGAAAATTTTGAATTTCAAAAACCTGTTCCTTTTTTTTTGAACTAAGAAGCGGAAACAACCGAACTTCTAAGTGGCTCAATTCATGAGATAATTGTATGCAAAGTTCCATTTTGAACAAACGTATGCTTTGCGAGTTATGCTCCTGGCCAAAAATATCAATAAGGAGTAATATTACCCGGATGTGCCACGCCCACCTTAATTTTTTTGAATAGGGTAATTGATATTCCAAATGTTATGTTGTGTTTCAAATTTCAAGCTTCTACATTATTCAAGTCAAAAGATATAGGTCAACAAATGTCAACAAATGTCAACAAAGGTCAAAATCGAAAAATGAAAATATCCAAATGTTAAAACCCGTTCCTTTTTTGGAACTATAAAGCTGAAACAACTGAGCTGTTAACACAAACAATTAGTAATTCAACCCGGATGTGCCACGCTAAACACCAATTTTTTTGCCATAGGTGAATTCATATTCAAAGTGTCTAGTTGTATTCCAAATATCAAGGTTCTCCATAAAATAGGTCATAAGATATACATACACCAAGATCAAAAAGACACAAATATGGTAAAACAAAACTCAAATTTGAAAAAATCACGAATTTCAATTTTGCTTTAAAAAAAAAATTGTTCTATATCTATGTAAAGTGCATGAGAAGAACATTAGGAAACCGAAAAAATTAACCCTCTAGGTTAATTAGGTCACGTGTTAGAGCAGTCCAAAGTTGCGAATTTGGCTTTTTACGGATAGCTATAAAACCGGAAGTACATGTCTGGGGTCAAAGGTCAAAGTATCAAATGATAACCAAGGTCAATGACCTTTGACTCAAAAAAGGTCAAGGTCATCAAAGGTCAAGGTCACGAGATACAAGCCTTCAAAAAGTTAAAAAATTCGACCGGAAGTTGAAAAAAGCAAAAGTCAAATTCAAAAATCCATTTCCAACATTTTTGTCGCCATCGACCGTTAATTTATCACAGCTTTGTCATACGGTATCAAAAAATGAGGTCATCGTGGTTATTATTAATAATCAATTATAATAAAAATATTATCATTATTAAGCTAGTATCACAGCACTTGTTTGCGTAATTGTGGTGAAGTTTATTTTTGAAAATACCGACTTTTGTATATCTGGATTCCTTTTTATTAAAAACCTATTCGTATGTTAAACTGTAGTCCGAAACATCTGCCTATATTTCAGCCTCTGGTGGATATTTTGACAGTTGTCGGCTGGAGTAGAGTGAGAAGAAAAAGGACCTGTTAAATGGGGATTTTCCACACCACACCTCCAGTGTTGGACATAAGAGTAAATTTCATTTTGATAGTATCACGTGACTCTGTGACCTTTGACCTTTTGGCTTCGCACTCCGTTTTAACTAGACAATGCGAGATCAGCTTCGTTAAAAAAAAAACAGTCGTGGAACTGATGGTAACTGATATCTAAAAGGGTTTAAAACCCCCGTACCTGCGGAGATGCGAAATGGCCCCATCTAACAGGGTCTATTTTTTCTCTACACTAGGCGACATCTGTCCAAATCAGAGGCTGGAAGAGAGACAGATATTTCGGTCTAGCTAAACTTTAAAAAGCTCTCAAGTCACGGTCACAAATTAGATTTTGAAATTGAACATTTAGTAATTAATGCTTATTTCAATAACTTGTGTAGTGTAGTGCATGAACATCATCAGACAAAAATGAATTTACAAATGGATTCTATGCCTCGAAAGAGATTGACTGAATCAGAGAAAAAAGAGCAAATCATTTGTACGACAATAAATATTATCAATTGCATCCGTTTCTATGCAATATTATTTGCATTTGAAAACATCCTAGACAAACAACGCATAGGTTAGAAGAAAAGAGTCCAAATTTAAATACCGACGAAAAGGTAACAAATAATAGCCAGCGAGCGTGTCACAAATCGATGACTTGCAATGAAAGATATTCAAATGGGTTTTCGTTTTAAAAGTAGGAGGGGTTTAGATTTATCGACAGAAGTTAGGGACAGGGCAGTACATTATTGATATACAGCATCGTTATGACCCCGCCATACATTGCAAACTAGATTAGGTCAACGGGGGATAATTTGACATTAGTGTGGTCTGCTTTCCATCAAGCCTAGTGAAAATTCCGAGTTATTTTACATTTTACATTGCCGTCGCCCCTGTCCGTCGGTCCGTCGGTCCGTCAACATTTCTTGTGAACACAATAGAGACTACAGTTTTCAACTGATTTTAATGAAATTTGGTTTGATCATTTATATTGATGAGATCTTGGTCAAGTTCGAAATTGACGATCTTTCGATGAACGGTTTTTAAGTTATTGTGCTTCATTTAGGCAAAACGCGTCAAAATTTGTTTGTGAACACAATAGAGACTACAGTTTTCAACTGGTTTTAATGAAATTTGGTGTGATCATTTATATTGATGAGATCTTGGTCAAGTTCGAATTTGACGTTCTTTTGGTGAACGGTTTTTGAGTTATTGCCCTTGACTTAGGAAAAACGCGTCAAAATTTTTTGTGAACACAATATAGACTACAGTTTTCAACTGATTTTCATGAAATTTGGTGCGATCATTTATATTGAGATCTTGGTCAAGTTCGAATTTGACGATCTTTCGATGAATGGTTTTTGAGTTATTGCCCTTGACTTAGGCGAAACGCGTCAAAATTTGTTTCTGAACACATTAGAGACTGCAGTTTTCAATTGATTTTAATGAAACATGGTGTGATCATATATATTGATGCGATAATTTGATGTATTTGGGTTATTGATATTAATATTAAATTTCTTTAATATGAGAAAATTCATACTTTAGTCACTAAAGACTGTTTTATCATTTCTGACAGCTGCCAGTGGGCGTATGTTACCTTGTCTGGAAAGCTATCTTATAATTCGAAATAAAGAAATTTGGTAATTTAGATCTTAGAAAGTAAATGTGCAATATGCTTGTAGCAAATAAACTTCTCCAATGGATTTTGCAGAAATTAGGATTATATCCAATGTTATTGTGTTGTTTTAATGTCTCTAGAATTAAGGAAATATAAAACATTGGTCAGAGAGAAAATCGTTGTTTCAATTGACAAACCGTTTTTAAAATGCTTCATTTTCCTTACGAATTGTGCATAATTTGCTCAATCCGTATGCTTGAGTACTACAGGCATAAAGTTGTTGCGTGGTCAAGTGGGGGTAATTCATGATGTTGTGTGGTCTGTAACTCAATATTTAATGATGTGCATCCATTATTTTGTCTATTAGAGAGATTCAGTATCAGGAGATTTAGACTTCCTGAGTTTATCAAGACCTGTAGCATAGTATTCAGGTAATGTTTAATTTCGAGAGAATTTGGTCTATAAAAAATAGCTCGATAGTTTTGTTTTATTTCCACAACGAACAGTATCAAATTGATTTTTGTTTTTTTGACCAATGGAATTTCGGAGATGACTTTAGATTGGATTAATTCGGTAAAATTCTATCCACATTCCAGTTCCAATTCCTAAAAGTGATAAAGATATCTGAAATTGAGTCTTTTTCTGTTGTGTGTAGTTTGTACTTTTATTTATAATACACATTTTTGGTTTTTAGTTCAAGATTTTCATAATGGTACATTAAATTTAGTCTGCTGGTGTATTATTTGGTTCCACATTTGTTACAAGATCAGATTAGTATTCCAAATTCAGGATAGTTTTAACTTTTTAATGGCGACAATGTTGTTTGATTGTCAACAAAATAATACATATAGAAAGAATATTGAAGAATGCGAGTTTAACGAAATGCCCCTGAAATAGCGAATTATTATAAAGAAATTGCGTACTTACTTCAATGTTTGGTTTAAAATGTATTGTCTTACTATGATGTTTACAACAGCAAAATATTTTCACTGTTCAAATTGTGCTCAATACATCAATTGTATCTATTATGATGTGTATATTATCCAAGTGAGACACGTGCGTTGATGTGATATTCGCTCAGATCGCACGAGTTTCACATTAAGACTGCATACAACACTCAAAACTTAACGCTCATCTAAAGGGAAACAGTGGTCTTAATATTTATATTCCACCCGTATCTCTTTTTAGAATACAAATTTTACGTTTCATTCACCGACAGAATTGGCGACAGTTAACATTATATCTTGTAATTCAGACATGTACTTTTGTATATATTCGGCTAATTGTACATTAAAATATTGTGTAAAATATACCGCTTTCGCACTGTAAAATTAATTCTGTACTATCCAGTTCTATCCGAATAACTGTCAGTTGCTTCCGGACCGAAGCCGCAATTAGACGATGTACGGTGTCCGGTGCTGTGTACAGTGCGGAATAATCGATACAAACGGAAATAGAAGAAGTGAACACATGAGGTACGGATGCGGACACGGTGCGGACACGATTCGTTTCTTCTTTTTTCGTTTGTTTCGATAATCCCACCCACACCGTACACCGCAACAGACGCCGTCTATTCTAATCAATTTCATCATTCATATCTTGGGACTTCTGTACAACTGCTTTGACATGCTTGTCGATTTCTAACTTAGCCTTCTTAGACGAATATACCAAAGTGTTCATATGGCGTTTTCTGGTATCATCGTTAAGCCTATAGTACTCCATGTTCCTACACGCAACGTTACATGGTACGATCAAAGCGTGAATAATCGTACCGAACATGTGGTCGCTTAAAGAACATATTGTGGTATATATAAATCCATGTGTCTCCATAATTGCAATTTGCGTGCTGTTCCAGTGCTCATGACATATTATAATCAAGACCCAAATCGATCCCCGAAAGTGGTGAAGCATGGTCTGTAAAACATGAACTGTTTCATTATTGTTAATATTAGTCAATTCAGCGCCATCTGTATCTATTGGAGTTGAGAGAAATCGTAACCTTCCTAATCACAAGAAAAACATCAGCAATTTAATATTCATTTGACATTATAGACTAAATTACACTTTTTGAATCTGTGGTTCATATAAGGACTTCTAAGTGTTATAAATAAAATACAGTAAAGATTTGTTTTTGATCTGATATCATTTTAGGCAATGGCTTTTTGCACCGTCAATGGGTGTATTGTCTTCACCTTTTGCGTACCAATGAGATACCTTATTATTCATGTTGCTCATGGGCAATGGATTGTTTTTACCGCCTCTACTCTTTTTTTTTTATCTCGAGCGAGAATCCATTTTGATTGAAAAGAATGCTATTAAGAGACGTTTTAGGGTTAGGTAGGGGTGGTTATATGATGTACCATCACGGTGCAAATAGAATAGAATCTCTATATAAGATAATATATCCATAAACTAATTAATTAATGAAGCACGCTTCTAAGCATGTTTCAAAATAACTTGGTTTCACCAACTGGTCCAAGTCTAGGAAATTGAGACAATTTTACTTGGTCAAATGTGATCTTGGCAGTACTTGGCTTGTTTCTGGAAAAAAATAAAACAATCCTTCAATAATTGATTCATCAATCAATAGCGGTTCTTTCAAGGGATCTAAGGCTATGATAAGTAGGGCCTACTCCTGTTTCTACTTTTACTATCTTGATTACGCCATCTCATTGCACCTCCCATTTTCACAATGACGAGCTATTACGACCTTTCTTGTATCACGGAATGCATCGATTTAAATGTATTGTCTTATACCTTAACATTTCTTGTATCACGGTATGTATCGATTTGAATGGATTTTCTTATACCTTGATCTTTCTTGTATCACGGTGTGTATCGATCTAAATGGATTGTCTTATACCTTGACTTTTCTTGTGTCACAGTGTGTATCGATCTCAATGGATTGTCTTATACCTTGACTTTTCTTGTGTCACGGAATGCATCGATTTAAATATATTGTCTTATACCTTGACCTTTCTTGAAGCACGGAATGCATCAATTTGAATGGATTGTCTAATACCTTGACCTTCCTTCGATCACGGAATGGATCGATTTAAACGGATTGCCATAAGACGACGTTCGTAATAGCTTGACATTGTGAAGATGCGCCCACCACAAGAGAAAGGTGGACACGGGCCAATTCCAAAACAATGCGATGTCAACAAGTCTGCATGTGAGTTCGATAAATCGGCACTGCAACTTTACCTTAAAGGGACATTATGTTTTTTATGTCCCTTAACTAAAATCTAAAAAAACTTTAAAATAAGTTCGTTACCTGGTGTATCTAAATGTACAGAGACAAATAAAAGATGCTAATAATATACCAGCTACTCCTGCACCCACTATCTCAACATCTACATTGAAGACAACCGAAAAAGTGTATTTGAGTCATGTCCCGACTTCTCCTTTCGGTTCTTGAAAGAACAGCAGACGTCTGATTGAAATTTTGAATGATGCAAATGGTTTGCACCCCCAATTTTAGCCTACCCCCACTTTATATTTTCACAAATTTAGAAATATGATTTTTATACGTCTTTGCCCGAAAATATGAAACGGAATGCACCAAATCAATTCAATATTTCGAAAATTTTCTGGCGATCATGACGTCTAGACAGAGTTGCCGCAATTTGAATTCAGCTTCGACATGCAGTGTGTCCCCATTGAAATAATCTACCCCTTTGCGCCGCCACTGATTGGACCTAGCTCTGTTAAAATAAAAAAAATGTATAGCCTACATTTGATAAACTGTTCATTTAATCTGTGATCCTCACTTTTTTCTGTCACTCCAGGTAATCTTCTTGTGGATTCTACAAAATAAATTTTTCAGGATCTATCAAGGTTTATGAGTCATTAAGATGGTATTAACCCTTGATATCACAGATCGATGGGCTTATTTTACTCATTAAAAATGCAATAAAAAATGACCCTACGCTCGGGGGACCCTGGCCCTAACTACATACCCCGACATATGAATTTGGCAAAGAGAGGCTCAGAGAGAAATGTGCGATTTTCGTGAAAGGCAGCACATACAGATGAAAATGGCACATTTTACAATCGTCCATCAAAAGGCAAAGCTGGTATCAATCGATAGGTTTTTCCTCAAGAACTGCTTTTGTTGGCATTGCTACAAAAATAAAGGGGCGTGCGTTGCTTTTAGTAAAAATCGTATATTTCTCCCCGACCCTCACTCAGGAAATGAAGCCATCAAAATCATCCGTCATCTCATATTATATAGAAATCTTCACAATGTATTACGAACTTACGTCTTATACCTTGACTGCATTAGCCACTTTTCATGTATCACGGAATGCGACCCTCAATAGAAAGTCTGTAAACATGGTTTTGTGTTTACTGACTTTCTGTTGAAGCGTCTAATTGGCTGTATTCGATAGCGTACAAACCAATCAAGTCGCTTCGTTTACAAACTTCCATTATACACAGAGGTGACTATTGCTGTATAAGGTATAAGTTGTTGTTGTAGGACCTGTTGTTGTTGTGGCTGTTGTTAGTGGTTCTGCTCTTGTGGTCGATGTTGTTGATGGCACTGTTGTTGTGATTATTGTTGTAGTTGTTGTTATTGGTAAAGGTTGATCACATTTGATTTCGATGTCACTGAATCCTAAAAATAATCAAACGATGCGTCATTAAATTTTGTATCGATACAGACTACATCATAAACAGTGTTCAATGAGAGAAATTTTAGAGAGATCTACTAAATTTTATTAATTTTTTATTGTTGGCCTGAATTTTTCAATAAACGCTTGTCTGGTGTCATCATGACGATTAGAAATCTAATCAAACTTAGGTTATGATTTCTTATTTTCTGGTATTTTCGTCTCCATTGGGATCTGACAAGTTTTCTACCACATACCACTCACCGTAAATGGTAGTTATATAAAGTAATATATTATATTTGGTTGTTGGGGACTGTCTTTCGAAGGTGATAATCACGTTTGGTTGACCAGGCGATCCAAACCAAGTTTCCAACCCAAATTTTGATCCACTGATCTCTTTTCCAGCTTCTTTTCCATTCCTAAATATTGTCAAAGCTTGATCACAAACTCTTGTATCTCCTCTACAAAGTCTAACATCGACAAACTGAACTAATAAACCGTTATTATTATCTGTGGTAATATGACACTGTAATTTGATACCAGTGTTGTAGGTCGTTTCTTTAGTTTTTAATAACAACGCCTTCCCTTTACCATTTCCGCCATCAAAATTCACTTCCATTTTCTCTATACATGTATAAAAAAAAAATGTCAAAATTTTAATCAACATATAAATGAATAGTAGAATAAATCATTCTACCACTGTCAAATTGTTCTTATTTTTCTAATTCAATGAAGATTAACAGGAGAAAATTTCCAAGTCGATCAAGACTACACCCCCTCCCCCAATTTTGCGATGAAGAATGTATTCCTTCATATAGGTGGCTCAACTACCTGGACTGTTAGAAACCAGGAGAGGGACTCCAACCCAGTCCACGAGTCCCGATTCTTATTCATATAGTTGAGCCTCTGTGAACATAAGGGAGAATCAAACCCTCTCTTCCTGAATTTCCGAACTAAAAAAGTTATGAAAATCAAGATTCCTATACTCACCTGGTAAACAAGCATATCTAAGATAAGAATACTGACTTGTAGTAATGTCACTCTCTTTTATAAACTTCTTACCACAGTTATGATCTCTCATTTCTGATATATCGGTTCGGCCACCAATAAGACTTTTACAATGGCTTGAATAGCCACAAATCTTCCAAATTTGTATGATATGGTTGGTATCCTCAAATGTACAGTCGTTACTATCAGGTACACAACATTCTATCGGAAGCACGCTGAGATCGTCTTTAGTACAATTATGTTGTTCTTGAAATACCATAGGTTTGATTCCATAATGGTAAATTAACGGCGCCACGTAATATCCGGAATCGGTACATCTCACATCAGTGTACCTTTCTGCATAACAGGTCAATTTATTGTGGATTTGGATAGTGTTTCCAACAGAGTCTTTAATATCTATTCCTGAAACAATATTAATCGTCATATTAAAATATAAAGCCACACTGATGCTGTCGTACATGAACATTTACTATCTTAACCAAAGTACCTGCAATATTTGACTTACTCTATGACATTAAAATAGAGTTATACATATAATACTTTTCTCTTGTTGGTTCGACTATCGTAGACTGGTAATGACATGCAATTAGGACATTTTTTATCGAGGAAGTAGCCCTTTAAGAGGTATCCGTAGCACTCAAAGTTTTTCCATGTCAGCCCTTCCGACATGCGACTTACGTATTTGTATCTAAAAGTGTACAACCACTTTGTCTTTAAGATTATTTTAATGTTAAACATCATGGCAGTAATGCTATTTCAATTGTTATTAAGCCTATTGTTATTGTAAGTAAATGCATAAAACTACAAAATATCAACTTGTCACTCTCAACCGTGTGCACCAAACCCCTGCTAAGCAGCCAATTTTACCCCTACTAAGCAGCCAATCTTGAGCATTCTCTTCAGTGGCGTTTATAGGAAACAGCAAATGAGGGGGCCACAAAATTTTCCAGGTAGTGCACAGCCCCCAATCTCCATAGAACGCCACTGATTCTCTTGACAATGCTTAATACAAATTTCACTGTAAATTTGTAATCTAGTATGGGGTATACAAGAAAAATCTCACCTGTAAATTTTGGCTCAAATCCACTGACCACATACAAATTAACAACTAATAATATTACAATTTTATCGAAATATACCTGGATATACATGGTGCATATTATTTTGTGAAATGATGATAAGAGAGTTTAGGTCACAAAAAAACTGATAACAATAAAGGAAGTTCGATTTTGGATTAGATATGACAATCATACTACCTAAATATGTGCATATTTTTTTTATCATACTAGTATAGGAAAAAAAATACTGGGCCGAAAATGAATCAAGGGTTACATCAGTGGACCTTGTTACAGCAACCATCTGACATGGCTGACATCTAGCGACATCTTATCAATCGCTGGATTTACTCGACCTGAACTAATAGGCGAATGAAAATTTTGAAATTACTACCAATTGCTTATCTGATATTTCCTTGCAGAAATTGAACCCCTTGACTCGACTAGTCTTAATCAACTGCAGTATTCAATCGGTAATTCCTTGAGCACTGATTCTTAATGGTTGCGGGCCAGTAGCCAGGCTTGATTGTTCGGGGGGGCAAGTAATATATCCGGAGGAGCAATGGTGTAAACTGTGGTGTTTAGTTGCAGTAATGGAATTAGTTGTTTGTCAAAATTTCTTTTCGGGGGGACAATCCATTTTTTCTGGAGAGGTGGGAAATGGGGGGGTGGAATGATTAAAATTGTGTACATAAATTTGCTAAGCACAAGAAAGTATGAATGTTGCTTGAGTTTCAAAGAATTCAATTCATAAATTTTCAGAGGGCTATTTGTCATGCATTTCAAAGTATTTCTATTATAGGCCTAAGTAAGCGTTTTGAATGGGTCAGGACTATTAATCAAGTACGTGGTAAATAGCCACTATCCTGCAAAGTAACACCACATCATCACCTAAGAGTTAAACGCTTATACTAGTTTGATCCAGAAAGGACAAAGGTTACGGTTGTAAATAATCCAAGTATGGACAATAAACTGATTTATCATGATTAATCAATGTAGGCCTATCATTGTATCCTAAAAAAAAAATTAATATAAGGCAAATCAATTTTCCATTACAGTAAGTGGTCAATTTTCTTCTATTCATAAATCAATTTTTGTGAATGATTTATTTTTTTCAACTAACATTCTAACTACTGATCATTACCGAACGGCAGTATACAATAAAGTGCTTTGTAGAGCTTTGGATAATCGATAATCTATATAGCGATATAGATTACAGATTAGTTGTGGTCTGAAATCTATTACAAGGGACGCAACTCTCATTTACCGGAAGTCGGCCATTTATTTACGTTGTCAAGGAGATTTCCTTGGATACGTTTGTCTCTGGGTTATTTTGGCATGTCTACCTAGACTTTATTCTTATTTATACCAAAATTTTTACCATAGTAAGCAAAGACAGTGACAAATCAAGATGCCAGGAAGTACTGCAGTAGTACAAAGGCCAACTGCCGAACAAATTGATGAACTGAAAAGTAAAATTTCGCTTTTGGAAGGAGACAGAAAAGCTTATTATGAATCTGCTTCATACGCAATCAAGCAAAACCGTGAAAATATTCAAAGCCTAAGAAAGGAAACCCAGTCTTTGAGGAAAAGGCTTAGTGATAAACTGAACAAGGATCAAGATGTCATTGGAAAGGCTTTTCATGATAGACCAGTGGAGAGGGCTGCTCTTTCAAACAAGAGTGGAAAACAGGCCATCACTGTCTTGGATCACAAAGTTTCTGACACTGCCAAAAGATTGAATGCTCTACGACATCAGACTGCTACAAAACAGAAGAAATTGGAAGAATGTCAAACACAGTTATTACAAATGAAACAGGTTAGTAAAAAAATGATTAAAGAATTTCTATTCTCTTAACTTACTCATGTACCCATTCTTATGCCTTGCCAGTTGCCTACTGATAAAGTGAAGTCGTGATAATGGAAAGGTGTCCGTCCTCATATGAACTACTAGATGGAATTAGCTCATGGTCATGTCAATATAATGGTAGTTTTGTGTAAGGAATTTCCAAGAAGAGGGATGTTTAGATAACTAACCCAGTCGAAGAGTGACATTGGGTTATTAAAATTTATTAAATGACCTCAAACTAATGAATGTTTCAAGTGTATTTACTTGTCAACAGTCAAGAAGGCTTAGTTTTTAAAGCATAAGTTTGTAATATTTTTAAGAGCACGTAGTTTCTTTTGAAAATTTAAGTTAAGTTATGTAATGGCTATAACCTTACAGTTAATATTGTCAATGAGCTAATTCTAAGCTTAATTTTGGCAAGTATTAACAAACCCCAAGTCAATGTTCAGATACTTAATAGCTTAACCCTTTCAACCCTAGTGGCTGGTTTACAGGCCACACACTAATGCAATATTATATACCCTTACTAAGTGATGTCATACAACGTTAACGTCATGATACGCTTTTACTTTTATTACTTGGAGTTCAGGGTATATGACGTTATATTTCATTCAGGGTTCAAAGGGTTAAGGTGTATTTTCAAATACAACATTGAAGGTTTAGCCTATATTTTTATCTTACTCGTTGAATAATGATATTAAATAAAATAGGTACCTATATTTCCAGGATACTGCAGATGCCAAGGCTATGGATACTGGAGAATCTCAGGAAGCCCAGACGATGAGGTACCTTGAAAATAGTTACGATAAAGTCGCCATGAAATGTGAAGAAGCCAAACAAGTTCAAAGAGTCTACCTTGACATTAAAGATAGATTTGAAAAGGAAGCTCAAAATTACCCGTTAAAACTTGACTCTATTGAGGCAGAGATTAAGAAAACCAGAGGTGAACTCAATGACTTAAAATCCATGCAAACAGACGCCACTTTGGCCAGAGATGCTGCTCAGAAAGATTTGGCTGAACAAGAAGAATATATTTATTCAGAACGTAAGAAGAGGGAAGTGGAACTACATAGAATGAAGAAGGAAGCTGAAGAAAAGAAGATGCAGCATGAACGAATTGAGAAGCGTTTAGCTCAGCGTGGTTCCATTCAACAAGATGAGCTTACTACACAAGACAAAATGGCTTTGACAGGTATAAGACTTACACTAATTATAAACTTATTTGGGCCCCTCATGAAAGGGATTTATTAAGCCTGCTCTATTCAACATGTGCTTAAAAAGCAGTTAGAAAATTCCTAACCAATATGTGCCTATGCCTTATTTTCTAACAGCTGTCCTGATGAGGGTTTAAGCTTAATTTTAAGAAACATGTAAGCTTGTTTTCAGCAGAGGTGTTAAAAAATTTAAAGCACCAACTACCTGGGGATTACAGCAGAATAGTTTGACCTTGCTGTGAATTACAGCACTGGAGCACCTAAACACAATGCTGTAAGCTTACCCAAGTTCCAAAAAAAAACCGTAAAAATTGATTTTTTGTACTTTCCAGGTGAAGAGCAACAACAAATCATCACAACCTATGAAGAAGCTTTCCGTAGAATAAAAGAAGCCACTGGAGTTTCAGACACAATGGAAGTGGTCAGACGATTTGAAAATCAGGACGACACCACCAAACATTTGGAAGACTTAAAACTCAGCAATGAGAAACACATCCTTAGGTTGAAAGAAGACAAGGGCAAATTACAAGATGAATTCGCAGAGATGAAATATTCTGGTGAAGCCAAGTTATCGAGTGGTGAACTCTTATTGGAAGAATATGAAAACCATCTTCAAGCTGAAGAAGCACGTCGTGATGAGGCAGACCACAAATTACAACGTTCCAGTAAGGTCTTAGTCCAGGTGAAGGCTGGTGTCGAACATTTGTCTGATAAGCTACATCATCTTAAAGCCAACAAAGGTCACGTACCGACTGCTCAAATTCAACCATCGTCTGATGAATATGTTCTGGACCAACTCTCCACTGGTGAAGAGAAGCTATTGAAACTGGTGGAAGAATTGGATGCTGGCGGCACCGATGTCAATGCCATCATGAAACAAATGGAGGAAGAAGAGTTCCATGCCAGTGCAGAAGGACGATTACCGACGTACAACACCAGAATCAAATTACCGCAGACACAACGTGACCTGGTATATAGTGATGAAAATGACTCCGGTGATGATGATATTGGTGTACCAAACCGACATTCCATCAAGAAACAGTCACAGTTCATTATTGACTCCAAAACAAAGAGACGAGTTGCCAAGAAGAAGAAGAAAACAAAATAGACATAAAGACTGCTGTGCTGGAAAACAAACTTTGGAAATATCATATATAGACTTTACAAAACCTAGACTTAACAGACTTTGACACATTGACTTTGTAGAAGTATTTTCACCGTAAAATGTCTGAATTCAACTTGATAAAATTCTCCATTTTCACCATATTTTCTCCTTGATTTTTGGTCCTCTTGGACTTTTTCCAATGTTCCTCAACTCATAGGAAAATTCCTGAACATGATTCCACTCTAAAATTGAGGATGTCAACTCAAGAGTTCAAAGTCTCAAAAACAAAGAAATGCTGAAAATGATTTGCTGCGAATGTGATTACTGCTTGCCAGAATTTTACTGCTGAGTAAATTTAGACACTATTTTATGTGGCTCATTTTGCCTGTGCTAATAGGAAAAAGAAATGTGATAGAATTTTTCATGTATTTGATTGTCTTTTGATGTCATTTATTTTTCATTGTTGATGTTATTGTTTTATGTTTTTAATTATTTAGATCCTCTGTGATAATCAAGTATAAAAATAAATAACATTGAAATTCATGATCATTTATAAAATAACTCAGACAGAATACTATAGATGGCAGCTGGTTCGAAATAAGCGGTGGGTGACCGCTTGAAACCTTGTTTAACGAGAAATTATTTTTCGAGAAAAACTATTTGTACTCGTATTTTGTTAAAATCTTTGTTTTTTTACCGCTACATGTGGTTTTCATTGTTTGAAAATTTAAACCTTGTATAACAATTTGAGTACTCAGATCTACTCAACCAATAACTCGTATAATAGTACAGTTTACAAAGTTTTTCGTTTTCATCCGCAGATAAAGGAACAACGAACCTCGTATAATATAATATTTTACAAGGTTTTAAATCTGACTGTTTATATATGTGTTATTTAATTAGCGGTTTTTGGGTTATTAACAATCAAGCTAAGAATAATAGGTTTTGATCACAAGATCCACGCTTTTACAAGCTTTCGAACGGTACCAAAAAATGACCAGAATACGAGGTTTCACGCGGTCACCCACAATATCACATCAATGTTTTCTGTGTAGGGCCCTACTTTAACAGATATCACATCAATGTTTTCTGTGTTGGGCCCTACTTTAACAGATATCACATCAATGTTCTCTGTGTACTTTAACAGATATCACATTGATCAATTTTTTTCTGTATACTACAACAGATATCACATCAAGATTTCTTGAAACTGGCATCACATCATGGTTTTCTGTGTACAACAGATATTGAATTAATGTTTTCAGTGTACAACAGTATCACATCAAGATTTTTTCTGTACAACTGATGTTCTGTGTGTACAAGACATCACAATATTTTTTTTCTGTGTACTACAACAGATATCGCATCAATCTTTCTGTGAACGACATAGCAGTAATCATATATAAATTTACGTTCATCACATCTAGATTTTGTCTGAGTACAACTGATATCACATCATGGTTTTCTGTGTACAACATATTCCATCCATTTCATCTGTTTTTGATGGAAAGAAAAACATCATTGCCTTCTGTGCTATCACATCAAGGTTTTGTGCTGAAAATATCACATAATTTTTTTCTGTGCTACAGCAGATATCACATCAATTTTTACTGTGATTAACTTGTCACATCAAGATTTCAAGAGTAGAACTAATATCACATCATGGTTTTCTGTGTACAACTACAGATATTAAATAAAGATTTTCTATGCACATCTGATATCAAATCAAGCTTTTCTGTTGTACAACTGATATCAAATCAAGATGTTCTGTGTACAACTGATATCAAATTAAGATGTCCTGTGTACAACTGATATCAAATCAAGATGTTCTGTGCACGTTCATTATATGAATGATTTTATGATATAATATGAATGCTTTCTGTGTACAACGAATATTAGAGCCAGGTTTACTCTGTACAACAGTTCAATAGGTGTTATACAGGAATAAGTCAAAATAAAATATGTAAAACTTTAATGTAAACAAATTTCAATATATACAATATTAGTATAATATAAATATAAGCTAGGGAAGGAAGTGGACAGAGTTCAGTGGGGAAGGGAACAATTTAAAGTGGAATGTTTTCATATCTATTCTAATAGGACAACCTCTAAAACTTTAAATTAAATAATACTTCATACATCAGTTTCACCATTTCATACAAAACTGTCTTTTGAATTTTATAACATTAAATTATGAAATAATCTACTCTACTTTTTAACTTGGAATGTTATAAAGGCAGAATATTTACAAATTCAAATGAGTCAACAAAAGTAAAATATCAAAGATCAAAATAGAGCTTTACAGTCAGCAGTTTCACTTCTAAATTCAAATAACAGATTTCTAATATTTTCATTTCAAGGCATATACTGCAAATGGATAGAGTCAAAGATTTCCATGCACTTGATTAGTCCACTTTGTTTTGAGGTAGTCTAAATAGTAACACAAACACCTTATAAAGTTTTATAAACCACTTATTCTACCTAAAACAATATGGACTGTTCTCATTTAGATTTTAAAATGTCTCTCGGTCAATATGCATTAAATATCTGGACTAATATCTACTATAGACTACTGAGAAAGTGCATCAGCTTTGGTCAATGGGAAATTAATCCCATATTCAAATACATTTAGGACATATAATATATTGAATATTCAACAAGTGATCTGTTTTCAACTCTGTCGTGTAGGGGTAAGGCATTTTGAAATCACAAAAGGTATTTATTTGGATAAATCTGCTTTGGTGAATATACATGACATATATTATTAGGAATGAAAAAAGTATAAGATAAAAATACACAACAGCATATGTCGTTTCAATTTTTGGGCAAACTTCATACATTTAATTTACCATGGACATCTAAGCTTTTTCTTTCTTTAAGCTTTTCAACTCTAGCAGCTAGTTTACCAGCCACATAATTACTCAATATACACCCCATCGCCGGTAAAGTTTACTTAAGCTTTAAGTTAAATTACTTGGAGACAAGGGTATATGACGTTTTATTTTATTTACTTTCAGTAAGGGTTGAGTTGATCAATCATGTTGCAAATCAATTACACGAATAAGTTTTCATCATCTCATTACATGAAACCGTTCTTTACCTATAGAGAATGAGGAACTAACATTCCAATTCATGACAATCCAAAACTTCTGCATTTTTTCCCTCAAAATTGAAGAGTCAAAAAGAGTAAAGCTCAGCATATCCATGGTAAATTGAATACTCTCACAAAATAATTTAAAAACTGAAAGAAATGCTGATTATATAACAATGATATTAACACAGTCTTTCTGATACAATAGGGAAATCAAGAACATTTCCAGATCATAATTGCCATATTTCCACCAAAGAACATATATAACAGATTTTTCACTTCATGTGTAATTTCAAAACCATAGCCTTCCCCCACTACTGCATGCCAGGAAGCTCCAAATTTCTTATCCATTGTCTCTTTGATCATTTTGGCTGCATTCTGAAAAATATTGATCGAAAGGATTAGCATTTAGGACTTTCTTGACATTTATAGCAGCTCAAAGATCTTCAAAACTTTTGTATTTTTTTAAGCACTGATGTCTTAAGCTTATACCTCAAAATTTTATTTTAATTTCAGAAGTCAGTTTCTAAGTATAGAAATCTGGGGGCTATATTTTACGGTGCAGTGAAAATAGCAATTATGTTCTTAAGACAGGCTTAATGTTTTAAGCTGAACATGACATAAGCTGATTTCCACCTTAAGGTTAAACAAACTACGGAATAAAGATACGGTTTTAAGTAAAGAAAACAGACATGACAATAACATAAGCTTACCTCATTATTTGCAGAAAATTTCTCACAAGCAGTAACACATAATTCCATAGCTTCTGTCTTCATTTCATCATTCATATCAGAGTGCTACAAAAAAAAATCAGAAAAACTTTTTATTATTGAAGCTTGTGTAATATAGATTTTAACTGTATGAATTGAAATATCAACTCTGGTATATGCAAGGACAGTCTTATCTTTTAGACAACCTTTTGACTTTGGTTAATAATGTTTATCACCAATTTGATATGTGTCAAAAATATAAAGTGCTGTACATTTTACGGTGCATTGGAAATATTATTCTGATTATGGTACTTATTGACACTAACAATGAATAAGTATGTTCTCAACAATTATGCCACCTTTATTATACTAAGTACAGGTAGGCCTAGATCTAGATCTACCCGAGCTTAACATTCCAATTTTTATCTTTAACTCAGATACAGCTCTTTTTTCTGGCCATTTCTAGCTAGGTCTTTATGGCCAAGGCTAGTCTACAGTTACAGTCTTTACACACATCTGTCGTTAAATCAAATCTATAATGATTCCATTATTTTACGATTGTGCGACGGTAACATAAGCTAAGTTCATTTCCTTAACATTTAGATTAAAAAAAAAGTGATTAATTGGCTGTTTTAACCCAACATCAATAATGTATGAATCAAATTGTGAGTTTTAATGCCCAATGACATAGATAAATGATAAATGTTCCACTGGGAAAATAATCAATAGTTTTAATTAGATTCTAATTAGCTTTGATGTTTCAACTTGTTGAGATGAGACCTGCCTTCACAGTCACGACTCACTGTGTATGAACTTCCCCCCACCCCTCCCTGACACAATCCAAACTCTTTCGTAATTTCACTTGTACCAAATAAAGTTTAAAACTCACTCTTATCAAAGGATATGTGTGCACTCTTTTAGACTCAGTGTCGACTTTCTTTTCCTCTGCAACTTCGGTCGCCATTCTGTGATTTCGAAGGTTTCAATGTGAAAGTTTCATTCAAAACAACCTCCTTTGTATTTGTTTCAGATGGCGGCTGGTTACCATAGGGTGTGCGCACGCGTCAGGCGACAGGAAGCGGAAATGAAAATCATGTGGTTTTGTTTGTAAACAAACATTTTCTTAAGCCGATTTTCTTCTAAGTTGATCTCCTTTTAATTATGAACGAAAATATTAGATCTGTAGTGAATCTGGTAAACAGAAGTATAGAAAGACGAATTTTATCCAAAGAGAATCCAGATATTATCACTTCATATAAAGATTTTGTGATTGTAATAAATCGGAATGAACCTCTACTTTCGCTTTCCCCATCATTACAAAATGATTTACTAAATGAAATAGACTTAGAAACACTGAAATCTAAAGATTACCAAGACAATGTTAGATCGAAATTCATTGAAAATTATTTTCCCAAGTGCTTTGAATCAGTATTGTCTTCCATCTCTACAGAAATTGTAAATGAACTGTCTTCAAAAAAGTTCAATGACATATTTTCAAAAATTATCCAGTATGGCCCTCTTTCTCAGGTTTTCACTGTATTAGCGAGACAAATTTTGTGCACAAGGTAATTCTTTTTACATCAATAATCTAATGAATATAAATAATATATAAGTCAAGGCCATGTATTCTTGAGAGGATCTTAGTGCTAGTATTTGAGGTTGTAACATTGCGGTTAAGTAATGAAAGTACAGACAGAAAGCACAGGCATGCAGCGTAACCTCTAGTGAGAGAGTATTGTTTTTGCAGTTAAACTAGGGTTATGATACCCTAGCACTAAGATTGTTTCAAGAAAATATGTGGCCAGGTCTGCACACTACATTTATTTCATGTGTGTAACAAATCTGTACATGCAAGACAATTTGGTTGATCAAGGATATCGTCCAAAACATGGCAAAATTTAAAATTGTATTGTAGTGGACTCCTCCAAAGAGAAATACCATCAGGTGTTTCGATAGAGTAAATATTCTCTGCTTTGTTTCCGACAACTGTCATACCATAATGTCGTATTGAATAAATACAAGATATTTCATCTATTTCAGAGGATTTTGTCAAACAAAATGTATAGCGTTGATGGAAATATATTTAAATAATCACATGGAATATCTGGTTTTATCACAATGTCAAATAGGAGTCAAAGAGTCACAGAATAAATATAAGAGTCACTTGGTATGGGATGAGTTGGTGTTGTCTCTTTCATCTTTCCCTGATAAAATGGGCGGAAAGCTTCAAAATCAGAACAGGTTAGACTGCAGTTTGAATTTATTAGTTATGCAGTACTAGAAAATTTGTGTTCAATGAAATAAGCAGTTTGTATTGATTTTTATCAGAAATCATATATTTTATAATGGGAGCTTATTTTGATTTTTGCTTTTTCTGATTTCTCGAAATATGAGGTCGGAGGATCTGTAAAAGGAAAAAAGTTGGTCTGGCCTTAGTTTCCCTGTGTAATTGATTATACGAAAACCTAATGTGGGATTTCCAAGCTGATAAGTGCTATGAGAAGCAACTCAGTAACAGCACAAATCCACTAAGTTATTTTGATTTTATGATCAGGCTTCTTATTTTTCTTTCCAGTGAATTATTTTATCCTAATCAGTATATTGGTATTATATGTAAAAGTATTCTGAATGTATTAAAAGATGTTCACACAGAGTTAAAGAACAACATCAGTTGTAGTTTAGAATTCATCAGTAGACTAATAGGAAAGTTGTGTCTCACCGGATACGCAGGTAGAGACAAAGGAATTATATTCTAGTTTGATGCAAAGTAAGATAAGAGTGGCTTGTCTATTCTGTATTTTTTTCTTCTATGAACTTTGTACCAAATGAAATGAAATGAAATGAATGGAGTTTTACGTCCTACTCTTCTGCACCTTGTGGGCTAATGAAGACGGGCAACGCCATGCAGGGTGCCATTAGGGAAATTTTGTCAGGACAGCGGCATTAGCCTGCTCTTTTTCGATTTCCAACTGTCGAGGGATCTTTAACGTGCACAGCCTGTAGCACACGGGGCCTCGGTTTATTGTCCCATCAGAACAACTAGACGCTTTTTCCATGTCAGCCCCTCTTACCTGCATCACTGACAGGGGGAAACCGGGTTGAAAAATCCGAAGGTATTATCTCGACCTATGCCGGGATTGAACCCTGGACCTTCAGGTTAGCGAGCAAGCGTCTTACTCACTGAGCCACCGCGGCTCCCAACTTTGTACCAAGAAATACCAGAAATTGAATGAGCAAAAGTCTAGATTATCCCTGCAAGATGCAATATGGCTGCTGTTCTGAATAAGATGATGTCTCTGTCTTGCCCTCTGGAATCCGATTTAACATTGAATTTAAGAACAGTTGGAAACTTAACAGTTTCATTCTTAAGTTCTTAAGAAGGCTAAGCAGAAAGAAAGACTTCAATGGGTGACTCATTTGTTCTTTTTGTTGACAAATTCCCATAATTTGTAAACAGTGCAACATGAATTGTACTTTGAGACCACTTTTAAGAAATCCTCTTTACACTTCCTTTCATGTTGTCTATCCTGATTTGTAGATCTGCTATGGAACTATATGATACCAGTATTATCTGTATATATAAAAGAAGATTATCTATGGTGTAGAATATGTGAACGTATAGTAACAGGAGTTCCCGATAAATCTATAGAAAGTGTCTTGGTTCCGTTATTACAAAAGATTTCATGGTTTGTATCTAAAAGAGTTTCAATTGTTTATCTGCTTAAAAACTGGCTTTCATTTTTAAGAATTAAGTCCTAAGCCCAATACAGCAAAATCGTACTTTGAAAACCGTCTGTTTTGGTTCTGAATTGAAGTTGTTGAATTCAAATTCTAATATTGACCAGGAAAGTTGAAATTAATATGATAATAAAAAAGTACTTCAAATTCAATCTGTTATATTTAGATGTTTCTAAAATATTTTGAGATTTGAATGTGAATATATGTATTTTAGGTTTAAACTAGTGGCTAAGTTTCTCGGAGATTGTATTTTGACTAATAAAAAAGTCCAGTATTTATTATGTACCAAATTACTATTTCACAGATATTTTGAAGAGGTAAAGTATTGTTTAAACCATTTCATCTGTGACACTTGGTGTCATTCTACTAATGGGTTTTCCCACTCAATATATATTTTATGTGATATAATTATGCTATCATGTTTTTTTTGGTCTTGGAAAATGAAAGTTTTTCTAGTTTTCACTAAGCCATGAGAATATTAGGTGAAGTAAATGGAATGAAAGAAACAGAGTCTATTGAGAAATAATACATTCTATCCATTTATCTTTCAGACCAAGTTGTTAGAAAATATTATAGGTTATTTAGCCTCTTCTCATACTAGACGTCACTTATATTTAGAGGTAGGAAGTTACTTTGTTAGTAATGTAATTATATTGTCTGTTGTCAATAAGGATACTACTTGATACTACGTGATGATATATCTGTTGTTTCTTATTGATTTCTCTGCTCATTAACTCTGCTCTGCTCTGCTCCGTTCTATTCTATTCTATTCTATTCTATTCTATTCTATTCTATTCTATTCTATTCTATTCTATTCTATTCTATTCTATTCTATTCTATTTTGTTCTTATTCTTATTCCTATTCTTGTTCCTATTCTATTCTATTCTATTCTATTCTATTCTATTCTATTCTATTCTATTCTATTCTATTCTATTCTATTCTATTCTCATTATAGGTCATGAGAAATTTATTAAATGTATGGGGTGATAGTAGTGCTATAAAACATACATCATATTCTCAACATTATTTTATATCAAGAGCTTTAATGATTAGTTTAGCATATTTAACAGAGAAGGAGAAAGTTATTTTGAAGGATGGTGAGTTAGCTCTGTTTCTACTACATGGAACATAACTGGCAAAAAAACCTCCATTGCCAAATCCAAAGGAGAGAAATGCATTGAATTCGACCAGTTTGTTTTATTAAAAAAAATGTCCCACTACAGTTACTGGCAGTTAAGTTAGAAAAAAGAGTCGAAAATTTACAAAAGCAGAATAGAACAAGATTTTTTCTTTACAATTGGTGCATACTTGCTCTTTATTACACTCTTTTATTACAAATATAATTCCTAGAATAAGTAATCATTGTAAATAAATGCCCAAGTACATATTCCATTGCACAATGATTCTAATTGTAGAATATATAAGAATATTAATGAAAGCTGTAGAATGTCATATTGGCAGTCCAGATTATAAGTTAAGATCATTAGGTATGGTTGTAGCAGAAACGATAACCTCTACACTAGATCCTACAGGTCCTAAACTACAATTTGAGGTATGTATTGTTATCAAGTGTGCAAAAAGTACTAATGTCTGCATAAAGTCAATCTAATTTGTTCGTTCTAAAACATTCATTTCAACCAATCACAGCGTGTCATGCAGAATCTGTGTTTAAATATCGACTATGAGTTGTGGGAACGGGAATAGAGAAACCCAAAGTAGAACGAAATGATGTAGATTGGCATAAAGTGAGTTTTAGGTAAGACTCTTTAGTTTGGAAGGTTAATATGTCTTATTAGTTATGAACAGTACATAAACATGTTTCTTTATTCAAAATGTGCATTGTTAGGTGTTACTGTGTAGATTTCTGCCTTTAAGTAAATTTGGTTTTGAATAGATTTTTGATATCAATATTTTGATAGATATGAGAGATGTAGGCCTACATACATGTAGATTGTTAAAAATTTCTTTTCAGTATGAAAAAACTTCTGAAATTGAAGAACTGTTGTCATATTTAAAAATTCCTGATGAAGAACCTCCTGAAAAATCGAGGTATAATAAAATTTGATATACATAGGGGTATGCCCTGAAGGCCTGTTGCCTGCAATTTTTCCACAAATTTTACCTGTATTTTTGGGCCCTTAGTATGTTGGTATCAAAATAGATTTTATCGAGTAGGTTTCTTTTTTAACTGAATTGATTTATAGTTTTTTGCACTATAACTAGGGTATTGGAAAAGTAACAGTGTCATGCAGTGCAGTGAGGAATATTTGGTCAGAACAATTTAGGACCTTAATGTTCATAGGCAACCTACTGTATAAAACCAAATGCAGGAGATATAAAGCACATAAAGAAGACCTGAGGATCATCTGTTCCCTAACAAACTGATTAAACATGTAACACCTTGTCTGCACATTATGATAGGGTCTTGTCAGTATGTGATGTGAAGTTTTTAAGTGTATTAGAAATATTTTACAGAGAAATAAAAGAAGAATCTAAGAACGAAAGTATTATAAAAACAGAAGAAACAAGAGAAAATATTAAAGAAGAAAAGCAGCACGAAGAGTTAGATAGGTTAGTACAAAGTTAATAGTAATAGCAAACTAGATTTACAATAAATATGGCCCTTTGCAATTTTAGAGTCCTATGATATGTTATCTTTACAGTGATGATGATCTAGAACTCTATGATATGTTATCTCTACAGTGATGATGATCTAGAGCCCTATGATATGTTATCTTTACAGTGATGATGCTCTAGATCTCTATGATATGTTATCTTTACAGTGATGATGATCTAGATCTCTATGATATGTTATCTTTACAGTGATGATGATCTAGATCTCTATGATATGTTATCTTTACAGTGATGATGATATAGAGCTCTATGATATGTTATCTTTACAGTGATGATGCTCTAGATCTCTATGATATGTTATCTTTACAGTGATGATGATCTAGATCTCTATGATATGTTATCTTTACAGTGATGATGATCTAGATCTCTATGATATGTTATCTTTACAGTGATGATGATATAGAGCTCTATGATATGTTATCTTTACAGTGATGATGATCTAGAACTCTATGATATGTTATCTTTACAGTGATGATGATCTAGATCTCTATGATATGTTATCTTTACAGTGATGATGATATAGAGCTCTATGATATGTTATCTTTACAGTGATGATGATCTAGATCTCTATGATATGTTATCTTTACAGTGATGATGATATAGAGCTCTATGATATATTATCTTTACAGTGATGATGATCTAGATCTCTATGATATGTTATCTTTACAGTGATGATGATCTAGAACTCTATGATATGTTATCTTTACAGTGATGATGATATAGAGCTCTATGATATGTTATCTTTACAGTGATGATGATCTAGAACTCTATGATATGTTGTCTTTACAGTGATGATGATATAGAGCTCTATGATATGTTATCTTTACAGTGATGATGATCTAGAACTCTATGATACGTAATCTTTACAGTGATGATGATATAGAGCCCTATGATATGTTATCTTTACAGTGATGATGATCTCGAGCCCTATGATATGTCTAATGATGTTAAAACAAGTAAAGCTAAAACACCTAAATATATAAGAGATTGTATGGAAGGGTTGATTGGTTCTGAAGATGGGGATAAAGTAGAATCCTGCTTATTTTCTGCAGAGTCTTTGATTAGAAGATCACCGGATGGATTACAAGAGGTACAGAGATGATATCTTAACTTAGCTATTGTTTTGGAGATATTTTCCAGTTTTATTATTGGCACTCCTATATTGCAGGGAGAATTTTTTAGTTTGTCAACTGATAGGGCTAAATTTTAAGATACCTGTATCACTCTCAGAATCAAACTAAGACTATGTAAGCATGCAATTAAATATATGGATTACACCTTATGATAAAAAACAGTTTAATCTGATGATTGGCATTTTATTATTTAGAAGAATAACGAAAAAGGCATGGAAAATTGAACTCAATTCAACAGTTTTATAACTGCTAATATCAGTACAGTTTTAATAAATTGCAGAAGAACCAAGTGTCGGAGTTTCATTCTGAAAAGATAATTGTCTGATAGATATATCCTTTGATCCTATTTTTCAATGTTTTCATTTCTTTAGCTTGTTGAATGCATGCACCCATTTCTTTCTGACTATTTCCTATTTTTATGTATGTGGCCTGATTTAAGGACATTTATGATTTCAGATAGCAGGAGAGTTTAGTAAGATATTACTGCATCTACAAGATAATTTCTGTACACCAGGTTTTATAGCCGTTAGATTTGGTGCTATGGTGGCACTAGCTGTACATTGTCCAGTGGAGGTAAAAAATACTTAAATTATACATAAAATAAATGAACTTTTTTATTTTTATGGATTGCATTATAAAGAAAATTAATGAAGGAATTATAAGTTCTAATATTGGCGATAGGGCTTGAAAGCTGGAACAGGGTCTACTCTCAAAAGCACTGACAGTGGCATAAGAATTGTTTTTAGATACCTTCATGGTGATTCATACCCATATCACTTAGTTCAGTAGCAGTTGACAATCAAACTCACTACCAACTGTTTCTCAGAGTTTTGCGTGTGGCGATCTTCAGATAACTGACCTATTTTCAGTCTGCGTCAAACTTATTCTAAAATGTTATACTCCTACTTCTTCGAATTATGAAAGTTTTTGTGCTACTATACGATGTTTTATTCAACAGGTTTCAGAATATTTAACTAGTCAGTTTTATGAGAAGAATTATAACTTAAGACAGAGGATGGATATTTTAGAGGTTAGTAACTTGAAAACAACTCATGTTCCTTTGTATGATGTATGTTCTAAATTGGTCAGTGTCAATCTATTGACATAAGAGTAGAAGCATCCAGGAAAGCATGATTATGTAACAATCGAAATCTACTGGTTGAGATTTGCCTCGAAAGATATGCCCAGATTTTAAAAATTGGTCTCATTATTTTTTTACAGGTTTTATCTGCTGCTGCTCAAGAATTAGCTAAACCAGTCGATAAATCAAAAGTCAAAGAAAAGTAAGGATAGAATTTCATTTTACTGAAATACTAAACAAACTTTTGCAATATGCACAGGGCTTATTTCCTGTTTAAAACTGTTGAAACTTATCCAGACAAGGCTTACCTCAAATAATGAGGACTTACTCATTTTAGCTTTATTTTCTTGAACTATTCACTAATCTTTTTAGACCAAAAGTGGAAGAAATCAAACCGAATCTGGATCCAGAATCATGGAGAGAAATAGTAGATAAGAGAATAGAGAGTAAGACTAGACGATTTATTAAAGGGAGGAGTAAACCGGAACCGGTTGCGGTTGCTAATCGGTTTGCACCAGTTGCTGGCAACTTCTTCTTTCCCCTATTAAGATTCTTTGACAGGTATTAATGAAACTTTATCTTCAAATGAAAATACCACAATTATGATATTAACTGTGTTGCTTCTCTGACAAATGTATTAGCAGGATGCCATTAGGTGTCCTAAAAGGGTGGACCAGTCTTATGGGCTTTCAGAATCTTCTTCATATTGGCTTCGAATACATATGACATTAGAAGCATAGAGAAATCTCTGGACGGGATGCCATTAGTTCATTTGATTTGGATTCACTGTTTCATCTGGGTTGTTGATACAGACTTTTTTACCTTACAGAAAGGAGAGTAGTTTTGATTTATTAGGAGAGGATTGTGTTGTTTTAAGGAAGATGGTGTTCTCTCTAGGAATAATACTCTATTCAGCTATACATATACCGGTAGGTTTGAAATTTTATCCTAAAAGCAGCGGTTATAGAATATCCAACACACTTCTTAGTAAATAGATGTAGTCAAAAAATCCCTGTTCACTGAAAACAACATATATTTAAAGGAAAGCATAATTGGACAAAATCACAGTCTTGGAATGGACATTAATTTTATTGGCTGGCGGTGTCACCTACCAGACAAATGTCAGACTGTCTTAGACCCTAACTGAAGTGGCTTTGGAAATAAAAGCTAATAAAAATGCAACGATAGTTTGTCTAATCTGAATTAGACTGTATCACAAACAGATGAAATTTAAAAAAAACTTATCATTTTAGTTGGCTCAGCAGATGTGTAGAACTTTATTAGAATTTATTTGGGCAATAAGATTCCATACTGACAGGTTAGTTTCCAATTAGCTACATGTACAATGTACATTTTAATATATAGCGTTTTATCTTCAGCCAACTGTAGGATCTCTAGCAATTAAACTGAATCCCCCACCTGACCTCTCATATTTCCTATCATTGAAGTCTTATAACCTAAAGGCCAAGGTTCATGTGTTTAGAAGTACAAGAAATGCACAAGAATCTCTCTTCAAACAAAGAATTTCAGTCTTTAATTTCATCTTTTCTGTATGTGGCATAGTCTCAAGAAAAGGCAAGTTGTCATTTAAACTTTCAAAATCAGATAATTCTGGACACACATATATTTGTAGACTCAAATTTCGACAGTGAGCTCTGAACATTATTACTGATTAGCTTAGCTAAAAAATTCCAGTTTCTGAGACCAGGGTACGCGATTGGTTTCTGCGACTAAGGTATGATTGGCTTCTGAGACTAAGGTACGATTGGTTTCTGAGACTAACGTACGATTGGTTTCTGAGACTAAAGTGCCATTGGTCAACTGGATGGCAAACCTGTCCCTTGAAGCCAATGTATGAGCTCCTTATAAATTTGTATATATATATTTATATATTTTATATTGTAGTTCTGTGAGACAAGCTATATTATTCTCTACCTCTATGATAATACTAGTTTTACCATCATATTGTATAATGTCTGAATTACAAGGTGAAATGATGGAGACTAAGTCATGGTTAGAAGGTATGATATTATTGAATAATTTATATTAATTATTATTACATTGATCTAAACATTGATTAAAAGGATTGTAAAGAGTTTTCTAAAATTTGTATGTGTTTCGGGGATACCGATATCATCGATTTGCACCATTCCATTTTTCAATAAGATGTCTGTCGTTGCTTCAATTCCATTAAACCAAATGTTTTGATGACGTCACTGATCACAAAATATGCTATATCACATAAGGCTCTTGGCGATTAGTGACATCATCAAACACTTAGTTTTAGTGGTATTGCAGCTGCAGGACATGCTGCTAGCATGGAAAAGCACTTAGTTGTTAGGATTGGAAATAAAATGGTGGCCTGAAAAGTATTTGGCAAAAGACACTTTCCTCGTGACAGAAATTCCTCTGGCAGATGTTCCTTAGTTGCACTCTGCATTGTAGCCTAGCGTAGCTTAAACAGACGCAGAAAAATAGAAGATAAACTCCAATTTAATTCATTTTATTTCAGATATAGTAGATAAAGATCCTGATACAGAGTGTAAGAAAATGGCTCTTCAAGCTTTAGTTTTATTACAGAATACTATTAAACAGGTTAGACTATTGTGATTCCATGTTGTATTAATTGTAGACGAACTGGAATTCATAATTTCTTTAAAAGTGATACATATACCTGAAATGAGGTTTCATTGAATTGTCCAATATGAGACCAAACATACTTTAGTCTTTTCAGCTGAGCTAGTCAGTAATAGTGTTCAAAGCTCAGAGTCAAATTTGAGCCTTCAAATCCATGGTGTCCGATTAATCCATGATTGAATGTTAAAATGACGACTCGTCAATTTAAGATACTCTGTGATATATAGAACAGGCATAATAGAAATAGTAAGTAAAATTCCTAGTTTGAGATATTTTTGAAGAAATTTAGCGATTTTCATACATTTCTAGTACTTCTGAAAACTGTTTACACATTTTTCAAGACTCATGTCAACACCCGAAATGGCTCAACTATCCCTTTAAAGGTCTTTAATACTGACTTCTGATATTTTGTAGAGTCTACAGACAAATCTAGCTGATGTTACCAGTTAGCAGGAAGAATGAATTAATGACCCAAGAATGTTCAAGAAAAATAAATGAAATGTTGCCCAAGCCTGCAAGCCAAGTAACTACTGAGTTGGTTCTCTAGGCTATGCAGTTCAAGTTGCCACAAAAAAGACCATAATCACACTATTCAAATGTTTGAGAATTGTTGAAAGTGCTTACTGCTGAGAAATCTGTGAGATAATTGTTGTAAAATTGTTGTGTTATGGAAATAAACAAATGTATGGCAGCATCAATCCTTTCAATAACCTTTTAAAGTGTTCAATATTAGCTATTTGAAGTAATTTTCAAAAATAACATCTCAAGCCCTGTTCCATTGCCATTGCAGAAGTGGATATTGCTAAAAATTGTATAGTAAGCTGACATTGAGCTCTATCAGCTTGTTATTTGGAGATCCATTCCTTTCTAATTGAAACCATCTCTTGTGGTGTGCCATTTTCCTTCATTTCTGATGTAACCATGGCGATGTCAAGTTAAACTTATATTCCTCTTATTCTCATATGAAGAAAATGCATCAAAGTTCAGAATAACCTTAGGAGCTTTCGAAATATATATGTATGAAAAAATATATAAATATTAAATATAGTCTGGCTATTTTTCCCGAGGAAGTTTAAAAGAAGTTATCTCCCTTAAACTAACATTAGCCCTGAAACGATCTTGAAGAATTGTATAAGTTTCTTATACTCTTAAAAGTCAGACGCATGGTTTAATATCCCACTCAGTAGGTCGCTAAAATAGATTAGCCCAAACAGTAGTGAATTTCTAAGCTCACATAGGTTCTAACTTGACATATTACCCCACAAAGGAGATAACGTGACGGAATACCCCGAGCTAGCGTGAAGTATTACCAAGAGCTAACGTGACGTATAACCCCACTAAGGAGCTAATGTGACGTATTGCATCGAGCTAATGTGAGGTCTTATCCCACACAGGAGATATGTGACTTATTACCCCACATAGGCGCTAAAATGACGTATTACCCCACACAGGAGCTAACGTGATGTATTACCCCATATAGGAGCTAACGTGACGTATTACAGAAGCCAAAGTAAAAAGATTAGCCTACATTGAAGCTAATGTAAAACAAAAGCTCATCCTGAAGCAGATCAACAGATAAGCACACACAGGCGCTAGCGTAAACTATCAATTAACCAAGTTAATTTCAGTCTTATGGTCTATAGGTTCGTTAAGTTCACGAACTTAAATGAACTCAAAATATTATCATATATTCTAGTCTTTATTTAAACTACCATAAATACCCATATTTATGTGTAATCTTAGATAAAATTACCTTATGGTACACCATTTGACCTAACTAAACTGTTAAATGACCACAATGATAAAGTTAATAGTATTGTCCATGCTGTTTTATTTATTTTTCAATATGTTTTTATTTACATATGATTATATCTTAACAATAACAAAATATTCTCATTGTTAAAATAGTGCCCAATACATCAATTGTAGGGCGATATAGAAATATTAAAACCACTGTTAAAATAGTGTCAAATACATCAATTGTAGAGTGATATAGAAATATTAAAACCACTGTTAAAATAGGGCTCAATACATCAATTGTAGAGTGATATAGAAATATTAAAACCACTGTTAAAATAGGGCTCAATACATCAATTGTAGTGCGATTTAGATATATTAAAACCACTGTTAAAATAGCGCCCAAAACATCAATTGTAGGGTATATAGAAATATTAAAACCACTGTTAAAATAGTGCCCAATACATCAATTGTAGGGTATATAGAAATATTAAAACCACTGTTAAAATAGTGCCCAAAACATCAATTGTAGTGCGATTTAGATATATTAAAACCACTGTTAAAATAGCGCCCAAAACATCAATTAGGGGGCGATATTATTAAAACCACTGTTAAAATAGTGCCCAGTACATCAATTGTAGAGAGATATAGATATATTAAAACCACTGTTAAAATAGTGCCCAAAACATCAATTGTAGTGCGATTTAGATATATTAAAACCACTGTTAAAATAGCGCCCAAAACATCAATTAGGGGGCGATATTATTAAAACCACTGTTAAAATAGTGCCCAGTACATCAATTGTAGAGAGATATAGATATATTAAAACCACTGTTAAAATAGTGCTCAGTACATCAATTGTAGAGCGATATAGAAATACTAAAACCACTGTTAAAATAGTGCTCAATACATCAATTGTAGAGCGATATAGAAATACTAAAACCACTGTTAAAATAGTGCTCAATACATCAATTGTAGAGCGATATAGAAATATTAAAACCACTGTTAAAATAGTGTTCAGTACATCAATTGTAGAGAGATATAGAAATACTAAAACTACTGTTAAAATAATGCTCAATACATCAATTGTAGAGTGATATAGAAATACTAAAACCACTGTTAAAATAGTGCTCAATACATCAATTGTAGAGAGATATAGAAATACTAAAACCACTGTTAAAAGAGTGCTCAATACATCAATTGTAGAGTGATATAGAAATACTAAAACCACTGTTAAAATAGTGCTCAATACATCAATTGTAGAGTGATATAGAAATACTAAAACGACTGTTAAAATAGTGCTCAATACATCAATTGTAGAGAGATATAGAAATACTAAAACTACTGTTAAAATAATGCTCAATACATCAATTGTAGAGTGATATAGAAATACTAAAACCACTGTTAAAAGAGTGCTCAATACATCAATTGTAGAGCGATATAGAAATATTAAAACCACTGTTAAAAGAGTGCTCAATACATCAATTGTAGAGTGATATAGAAATATTAAAACCACTGTTAAAATAGTGTTCAGTACATCAATTGTAGAGAGATATAGAAATACTAAAACTACTGTTAAAATAGTGCTCAATACATCAATTGTAAAGCTATATAGAAATATTAA